GGGGAGTGGGTCGTGCAAGTTAGCTGGCCTCAGAGAGGCAATGGCAACCCACAGACCCGGTTGGAATTAAGGTAGAAGTCACCCAGGAGCTTACCTTCAAGCACAGAGCCTACTTCCTGCAAACTGGCAACCACTGCAGGAGAGAAGCTCCACACCCGGGTGGGGTGGTGACAGCCTTTGAGGCGTCTCAGGCCAGCAGGTGCTTAATGCCCATTGGCTGCAAATTCTGACTGGCCTTTCCTGAGTAGACCCGGAACAGCTGTGCTGGAGGGCGAACATTTGCACCCTCCCACCTCTCACCCAGCAGCTGCTCAGGAGAAGGTTCATTTACCTCACCCACCCCACCCCACCCCTATTAGATTGGACTTTTATTATTTTTAAGATTTTAAAAAAATTATGTGTATGCATGGAGGCCAGAAGACGGCGTGGGATCCCTTGGGGTTGTAATAATTTGGGTGCTGAGGGGCCAAGCTTAAGTCCTCCTCTGCTAGACCCATGGCTCACGGCTCGTAACCACGGATCTATTTGTCCAGATGGAGACTCATTCTTACGAGCGAGCTGCAGAACCTGGGATATTCATAAACCCCACCTGGTGTTTCTGAGCAGCATATTTTCGGGGTCCTCGCCTTATTAAAAAACTGTAGCCTGGGAGTAGTGCTTAGCATTTATATTTTTAAAAAAATTTACTAGAAGCTGACATAATCCCGTGTATGTATGAAGAACAAAATGACATTAAGTATATTCGTCATGAGATGACTAATTAAGCTAAATATCATTTTTGAATACATATGTTCTGGGGGTGAATTTGACATTTATCTTTAGTAATTTTTGAAATCCTTTTTGGGTTGGCAGGGGTTTCAAGAAAAGGTTTCTCTGTGTAATCCCGGCTGTCCTGGAACTCACTTGGTAGACCTGGATTGTCTTGAATACAGGGACCTGCCTGCTTCTGCCTCCTGAGTCCTGGGATGTGTATGTTTGTGTATGTGTGCATACGTCTGTGTGTGTGTGTGTGTGTGTGTGTGTGTGTGTATACTTGAATATGCATGTACAGACCAGTGGTCAACTTTGGGTGTCATTCACCAGGTGCTGTTTATTTTATTTTATTCTTTTTTTCTTTTTTGAGACAGGGTTTCTCTGTATTGCTTTGAAGCCTGTCCTGGAACTAGCTCTGTAGACCAGGCTTGTCTTGAACTTACAGAGATCCGCCTGCCTCTGCCTCCTGAGTGCGGGGACTAAAGATGTGCACCACTAATGCCCAGCTGTTTATTTTTTTAAAGAATTTATTTACTTTTTATTTTATGTGTATGACTGTATTCTGCCTGCATGTATGTCTGTACTGTGTGTGTGTGTGTGTGTGCGCACACGTGCACGTGCAAGAGCATGGTTCTCAGGGAGGTCAGAAGAGGGCAGCAAATCCCCTGAAATTGGAGTCATGGGTTGCTGTGATCTGCCACATGGGTGATGGATCTGAAACCCTCTGCAAGAACAGTACAGTGAGTACTCTTAACCACTGAGCCATACTTCCATCCCCCAGTTTCTTTTAATGACAGCATCTCTGGCTGGTTTGGAGGACACAACCCCCTCCTTTTTAATTTGTGGGTTATGGGGCTTGAACTTGGGTCCTCTGGCTTGCACAGCGAGCACTATACAGGTTGACCCATTTCTAGGGACCCTACAATAGACTGTTCTTAGTTTTTAAAAATTTACATTTGATTAGCATGTTTTTGTTTGTGCACATGTATGTGAGTGTGTGCATGCATGCAGGTGAGTATGTATGTCAGAGGACAGTTTGTGGGATTTGATTCTCTCCTTCTACCATGTGAGACCCAGGGATTGAACTCAGGCCATCAGGTTTGACAGCAAGCACCTTTACCCATTAAGCCGTCTTGCCAGTCTGAATTATACCTGGATATGGTTGCTTCCTTGTGTAGCAGACCCCCTACTTGCTTGAAACATTCACCCTCTCCCTTCAAATTCCTTTCTCCCCAGCCTCTGCTAACTACACTTTGCTCTGAGTCCAACTGTCTTGGTGACATGCAGTGTTTGTCTTTCTGTACCTATCGTACATTGAGTATCACGTTTTCTATTAACAGTTCATCCATGTTGCTGCAAATAACAGGATTCCTTCCTTTGTAATGGCGGGTACTATTCTGGTATGCGCACGTACCGCGGTTTATTTATCCACCTGCCTGCTGGTGGATACTTAGGATAATGCCTCTTGTCTATTGTGACTAATGCTTCACTATTAGCATACAAGATATTGTAGTATATCATTACATCATGAAAACGTTTAATGTTTATTTATGTGTATATGTATGTGCCTGCACTAGCGTGTGCATACTATGTGAATGCAGGTGCCTATGGAAGCCGGAAGACGGTGTCAAACAAACACCAGAACTGGAGATAAAAGCGGTAGTGAGACTCCCAACTTGCACCCGGTCAAGAGTGGGAAATGCCCTTTACCCCTGAGTCACTACTCTGGCCCTCCCCATCCTTACCGAGCACAGTGCATTTTAGTAGATTCTCTCCTTCCCCTTTGCCACCCCACCCTGTTGTGAGAGGCCAATTATCTTGACTTAATCATTCCACACCGAATTTATAGAACATCACGATCGTGCTGTGCACACTGACCATAACGACATCTGATGTCTCTAATATGCTAATAGCAGTTTGACCGCAACACAGCAAATGAACTAAAAACAAACAAAAACCAATAAAAATAAGGAAAAAAACCCCACTTAAATTATTTAGCTAAAATTGTAAAAGCTTTCTGTATGTCCTTATGTGTTGTGCAGGGTCATGGGATGAGTGTATTGTGTGTTCTGGTTTGAGAAGGGGCTGGGGTTCCTGGAACCCACATAGGGTGTCTCACAATCACCTGGAACTCCAGCTCCCGGGGGAACGGGCCGCCACCTTCTGGCTTCTGTAGGCATTCGTGTATACAAACCCACACACTGACTACAAACTAGATTGATTTATAACAAGGAAGCCAGTTGGGCTGAGTGGTAGCATGCTAGCCTAGCATCCATGAAGCCTCAGGTTTGATCCCCAGCATCTCATAAAACCAGGCAAGGTAGGGCAGACCTGTAATCCCAGCACTTGGTTGATGGAAGGAAGGAGATCAGAAGTTGTTCAAGGCCAGCCTGGTCTAAGTGGACTCCTTTGACATGTTATTATTCATCCATTGGTTGGTTATGTGTGTGTGCATGCCATGCGTGCACATGGAGGTCAGAGGTCAACTTGATGGGAGTCATTTCTCTCCTTCCACTACGTGAATCCTGGGGATGGAACTCAGCTCATCAGGTGGTAAGCCCTTTGACCCACTGAGCCATCTTGCTGGCCCAGACACCTCTACTAAAAAAGCATAATTGCTAGTAGATCAGTGTCTATCCTGGTCATCACCAGAGAGGATTCCTCTGTCAGCTGATGAAGAGACCTTTGCCAAACATTAAGGAGAGAGAGAGACAGACAGAGAGAGAGACAGAGAGCGCCCAAATTGGAGATCTCCATGGGATCCCTGATGGAAGAGCTCAGGGGACCCCTTGGGATTGTAGGAGCCAGAGGGGTCAAGGACACCAGGAGAACATGGCCAATCAATTAAGCAGGGCTCATAGGGGCTCACAGAGACTGAAGCAGCAGTCTCTGAGCCTGCATGGATCTGTGCTAGGTCCTTTGCATATATGCTATGGTTGTTAGCTTGCTGATTTTTGCAGGACTCCTAACAGTAGGATGTGGGGTGTCTCTGACTCTTTTGCCTACTCTTGGGATCCTTTTCTTCCTACTCAATGGCCTCATCCAGTCTCAGTAAGTGTATGCGCCTACTCTTGCTATAACTTGTTCTGCCAGGTCAGGTTGCTCCTCCTGGGAGGCCTGCTCTTTTCTGAAGGGAGAGCAAGGGAGGGGGACTGAGGAGTAGAAGGAGAGGAAGCTGCAGTTAGGATGAGAGGAGAATTGGGAAAAAAAATGAAGGAAGAAAAATAACCGTACATCATTTTACTGTGGCCGTTCACGATCCAGGATCAACCCCTGGTGCCTGTCCCGGGATATATGGTACTAGATCTTATCTGTACATGTTCTTTATCTGTACACCAGTATGTAGGAAGGGTCCTCAAAGACTAGAAGTTACTCCATGATACAGCTGCACTACTTCTCAGCACATACCCACACCTGTGACCTTGGGCCTCAGGAGGCTGAGAGGCAGGAAGATGACGAGTTTGAGGCCAGGAGGCACTTTAACCTTCACTCCCCTGGCCCCACCTGCCCAGGCCCCTCCGCAGCCCCTCGATGGAGTTCAGCTGCCCTCAGTGGCGTGGATGCACAGGTGGATCCCACACAGTTATGCCTCACGTTCGTAGAAGCCCTCAGCCTCTGTGACTCTTATGTCCTGCGTCTCTCTGCGTGACACGGCTCTGCCTGTCTGTGTCTTCTGCTTTTTTTTGTCTTTCTCCCTATGTGTCTATGTCTCTGCCTCATGTGTGTCTTTGTCTCCTCATGTCTTCCCATTTTTTTTGTTGTTCTATATGTCTCTTTATCTCTGTCAGTCTCTATATGTCTCTGCCTGTGTAGCTCTGTATCTGTCTCTCTGTCCTTCTTAAACACAAAAGGTGTCACTTCCCTTGGGAATTTCCTATGGCAACCAGCTTTTAAACAAGGACCAGGTTCCTTCCTTCTGAGTGGTGCATGTTGCTGGGCAACCGGTTGAGGGACACTTGTCCATGCTGCATCACTGTAGAATTTAATTTAGTTCTCCCAGCACCCCAGGAGGCGAAACAGAGATTTCCCAACCCTCCTAACCCCTTGGTCCCAATTTAGCATCTGATTATAGTGACAGTCCCTAACTCAGAGGGGGCTGTGGAGGCCATGCCCGCACCAAGCTCCTGAACAAACTGGCCTGCTCCACACAAAGAAGGGCCTGCACATCAGCAGCTGCTTCCCATTTAAATTAGAAACAATTCATCCGGAGGGTCTTTGGATGTTTGCCTCCATGGCATCTTAAAGCATTAAGAGTTCCAGTCTTGTACGATCTTCAGACGGCCATCCTCTATCTCTGGGCCCTTTAGTCTTGTGTACACGTCCACCTTTTCATTAGACTTCTTCTTCCTGGGGAGGGCACAGAACAAGGCTTGGTATCTTACATTTAAGATTCCTTTGCAGTGACTACAGCCAGGATTTCTGCATCTTCTTAGAATCCCCCATGACAGCACCCCTTACCAGCAGGAAGTAGTTTGGAAAGAACGACGCCCAAATTCCCAAATATTGTCTATAAATGTTTGTTTTCATTTAAATGGACTTGGTTATAAAAAAAATTAAATAAATAAATAAAAAAAGATTCCTTTGCAGAGGGAGCAGGAGGAGAGCAGGGAAGGGGGACTGGGATTGGAATGTAAAAAAATAAGTTAATAAAGAAAATGTTAAAAGAAAATAAAAGGTTCCTTTGCAATCCCAGAAAAGCCAGGAAAACTCTAGTACAGAAAGTTGCCACGTAGGAGACCAACCTGAAGCTAGGACTTTAAACAAAGAGCAACCTGGCTCTGTCTTGACCATTGTAGTGATGCAAGCCTTTAAGCCTAGCACCCCCAGGAGGAAGGGGCTGGAGGATCTCTATGAATCTGAGGCCAGTCTGGTCTACATTAAGAAGCTATGTCAACAAACAAACAGTTCTGGGCCTGGAGTCCTGCGCTGTGACTCACCTGCTTGGGATACATAGTAAGCAGTCCCCATTCCTTCCCCCCATAGCCCTGGTGAAGCAGGGCTGACCTGAGTGGCCAGCAGAATAAAGCAGGTGTGTGGGGTATACATTGGAAGGGAGAAAGGTCTGTCGACACCTTCTGGCTCGTTGCCTACGTGTGTCCTATGAGGAAGTCTGTCTCTTTTCTAACTCCATATCTGTGTGTCTCTCTATGAATGGCTCTGCAGCTTTGGTCTCTGTATGTCTGTCTGCAAATGACGCTGTGTCTCTGTGTCTCTGCCTGTCCCCTATCTCTGTGCCACCCATTAGGTGTCTCTGTCTCCCTCTGTCTTTTTCTGTGTGTTGTATTTTATGTGTCTCTGTTCAGCTCTCTGCAGCTCTCTTCATTTCTGTGCATCTCTTTCTGTCTGTGTGTGCCCTTGTGAGTCTACACACGTGTCTCTCTCTGTCCCCATTTTTCTAGATGCATCTACACAGCCTCTGTATGCCTCGTCTCCATGTGGATGTCTCTCTGTGGATGAGACTTTTTCCCATGTATCTCTGTGTCCCTGTCTCCATGTTTGTCTCCCTGTGCATGTTTCTGTCTCTTCCCCATCCGTGCATCTTCCTCCACACATCTGTGCATCCTATCTCCACTTGCCTCCTTCTGTGTCTCTCTAGATGTCTGTCTTTCTATGTCTGCCTCCACATTTCTCTGTTAAACATGTTTTTCTCTTTGTCTCTTTGGTTCTGCGACTTTTGCATCTTTGTGTTTCTCTGCCTCGGTGTTTCTCCCTTGGTCTGTCTGTCTGTCTGTCTGCATGTCTCTCTGTGTCCACATGTCTGTCTCTCTATGTTCCTGGGCATCTCCCTTGTCATGCATTCTGGAAGGAACTTGCTAATGTCACGATGACACCTGCGCCCATAGCCACCCCTGGATGACAACATGCCAGTGTGCAGTGTCTCACATGCACATCCCCCCAAATATTCCTGAAATCTCATGGATGAAGAACCAACCCAAATTCTAAAAGCAGATGAGGTTATTCACAGTCACACGACTGGTGAGCAACATAAATAAAAATAATAATAAAAGTCTACAACTTGAGCCAGGCGTTGGTGGTGCACGCCTTTAATCCCAGCACTCGGGAGGCTGAGGCAGGTGGATCTCTGTGAGTTCGAGCCCAGCCTGGTCTGCAGAGTGAGTTTCAGGACAGCCTCCAAAGCTCAGAGAAACCCTGTCTCGAAAAACCTAGGGAAAAAAAAGCCTACAACTTGGAGAGGAATAAAGGGGAAGTGCATGTTGGTATTTGCCATATAACCCTGGCACTCAGGTGCCTGAGGCAGGGGGATGATGAGTTTGAAGCCAGCCAGGGCTAGATAGAAACAAAAGGGTCAAAAGCGTAAAATAAAATGAAGAAAGTAGAAAGGCAAGGATGGGAGGCAAAAACACAGCCATCAGGGTGACTCAGGTCCCTCTCCCGTCAGACCAGAGGCCGGTCCGAAAGGCACACGGAGGGGACTCCCGTGGTAACCCTCACTCCGCACAGGGAGCTTTGAGTTGTGTTTGTGCACAGGAAGCCTCCCAAGGTCTAAAGATACAGACCTTTAGAGTCAGTCGTCTAGAGAGCTCACTAGAGAACCGGAGAGAAGCAGGAGGTCCGAGGCTCTGCCTTCTTCAGCTGGCAGTGGGCACCTGCCTGTCTTGGAGCTCTCAGTTCATCCTAGGATTGGGAATTGGCCTCATGCCTGACCTGACATCAGAACAGGGTGACACACGGAACCCCTGGGTGTACGGGGACTCAGGGAGGCAGCTATATAGATCCCTGAGGGTATACCTCCCTGGGGATCCCGGCCACAGGTGAATTAAATGGATGGCATTAAACACTATTTTGTGACAAATTGGTATACCAGCTCTTTGCATTTTAAGGTTAAAAAAAAAAAAAAAAACCAAAACACTAAAGCTCTTCTCAGATGCTACAGACTCTCCAGTACTCTTCTTAGGAGACAAGGTTCTCATAGAACTTACAGAATGACATTTTCCATATTCCTATGGTACAAGAATGCCAGGCTCAAGGTCAGTATGCCATCGAGTCTGATGACATTCTTGCTCAGGTCCAAGTGCATCAGCTTCTTGTGGCTACGGAGCATGGATGCCATCGCATGGCAAGAGCTGGAGGTGAAGCTGCACTCTTCCAGCCTGCGGGACGGAAACAGACAGGGGAGAAAGAAATGTACATGCCCTGCTGCCTGAGGATTCAGCTCTCAGAGTGCACAGCCCCAGATCACACTACAGCCGAGCCACGATGCAAGTCCCTGGCAAGCTTCAGGCTCAGCGAGAGTTCTTGCCTACAGGGCTGGAGAGTTCGTTCAGTGGTTAAAAGCTCCAGAGAAAAATTGCTGTGTGTTGGAAATAATATGCCAGCATGTAAAAGGGGTGCTTATAGCTGCTTGCTACAGTCCCTTCTGAAGGGAGGAGGGGCTCACAAAGTCAGGTAAGAAACTGAAACTTGCAAGGCCCAGAAAGTCCCCCAAACTTACAAGACTCACAAGGTCCCTCCCTCTGCTTGTTATAAACAAATAACTGCTGAGGAGACTCTCCAGTGGGGTTGTCTACGAGTTGTGCATGCTGCTCTAGAAAAGAGTCTTTTAGGCGTGGTCTGCAATACTGGATAGCCGCCAGAAAGTATGTTGCTAACCACTTCAAGGTAAAACCAGACTCCTGAGTGGAAGGAACAATCTAGGAGGGCACCCTGAGAGAATGTAAAGTAGAAGTACACTGGCCTCACACGAGAAAATGAAGGAGACTCACTCTAGAATTAACACGTTGCAGTCCGCATTTGCCAGAGCATCACAGAGCAGGATGACCCCATTGTCCCCTAGCTTATTACAACTCAGGTCCAGACTTCTGAGGCTTTTATTGTTCTTGAGAGCTGATGCCATATATTCACAGCAAGCTGAAGTCAAAAAACACTGCCTTAGCCTGTAAGGAAACAACAGCCGGAACACGCTTGGACAGTAGTCACTGCTTCCATGTTTTTTGGCAAATATGATGCCTTTATTAACCTCTTAGAGAACATGGTAGGGGGAGAAAGGAAGGTCTGAAGATGGGGAGGAAATCTGTGGAAATGTAGAGAGACACAGAGACAGAGATGGAGACAGAGAGACAGACAGACAGGCACACACACATACACAGAGAGAGAGGAGAAGGAGGAGGAGGGGGAGGGGGGAGGGGAAGGCATTTGAGGGAGAGGGGGAGGCATTCTGGTCCACAGCATCAGTGTGACAGCAAGAGGACATTATCCCTAAGGCAGGAAGCCGGGTCTCACAGATCATTCTGCTCCGAGAGGCATAGCATTACTCAGAGCATAGGAGAGGGGGAGTTGAGCTCAACAGCTAGCATAGCAGGGAGTGTGAAGGTACCTGGAACCTGCAGCAGCTAGTCACATCCACAGACAAGGGCAGCGGCGGGGGGTGAGGGGGTGGGGGGAGGTAGAGAGATATGCATGTGTGTATTCAGCTTACTTTCTCAGAGAGGGAGGGAGGGAGAGGAAGGGAGAGAGGGAGGGAGAGAGGGAGAGAGGGAGAGAGAGAGGGAGAGAGAGGTGCATGCTTGTATCCAGCCCACTCTGCTTGCTTTCACAGTCCAGGACTGAAGCCAAGGGAATGGTGACGCCCACCTTCAGCCCGAGTCTCCCACACCAGTGAACACATTTGAGGCAATATCCCACAGACACGCTCCAAGGTGCACTCTCTGATCTAGAAAGTCACTCACTGAGAGTCTCTTCTCAGCTGCCTCCATTTTATAAAAAACTAAACTATCACGATGCTTATCCTATTGCACGAGAGAGTCTGTAATATAATCTCCCTGTCTTCCCCTCCCCACAGAGGCTCCAGGAAGAAAACACTTTTAGACTTACACCAGTCTCTGCAAAGGACACATTAAATATGCCAAAGCATTCCAGATGGGCTTCGACCCTGCATCCTTCAAGCTGTTCTCTGCCAGGCTCAGGTGGGTCAGCATCTTATTGTGCCTGAGAGAGAAGGCAATCCCTTCACAGTAGACCTCACTGAGGCCACAGTTCTCCAGCCTGTGAAGAGAAACACACAGACAAGGGACAGCTTGTATGCATGCATGCAAGTATATATGTATACATGTACACACACACACACATACACACACTAGAAATTTATTTATTTATTTGCATCCTGGCCAAAGTTTCCCCTCCCTGATGGGAGATGTAATTCTGTAAATATGTTTCTCTTATTGGTTAATGAATAAAGCACTGTTGGCCAATAGGAAAGGAAGATAGGAGGGACTAGGAGACAAGGAGGATTCAGGAAGTGGTAAGGAGAAGTCAAGATGGAAGACGGAGAGAGCAGAACGCCAGCGGCCTCTCTCTCCAGTAAGATGAGACCACATGGAAACACTTAGATGAATAGAAATGGGTTAATAATTAAGACAGAGCTAGCCGATAAGAAACTAGTACCTGGCCAACAGCATTATATCTAATACAGAGTCTCAGTGTGTTAATTGGGGCTGGCAAAAGATGCACATCCATGCAACAAAGACATCTGTACAGATATGTTCATAGCAGCATTATTTGTAATAGCCAGAACCTTAAAACAACCTAGACGCCCCTCAACTGAAGAATGGATAAAGAAGATGTGGCACATCTACACAATGGAATACTACTCAGCAGAAAAAACAATGAAACCTTGAAATCTGAAGGCAAATGGATGGAAATAGAAAAAAAAAAACCATCCCGACTGAGGTAACTCAGTCACAAAAAATGAACATGGTATGTACTCACTCACATGTGGATTTTAGACATACAGCAAAGGATCACCAGCAGACAGTCCACACTGTCAGAAAAGCTAGGAAACAAGGAGGACCCTAAGACCACCCCCCCCACAAGATCTCCAGAGCAAATTGGGAGCATGGGGGGAGGGGAGAGGGAGTTAGGAGAAAGAGAAGGGGAGAAAAGGAGGGGAGAGGAGGACATGAGGGAGCAGGAAGATTGGGTCAGGAAAGAATAGAGGAGAGCAAGAAAAGAAATACTATAATAGAGGAAGCCATTATAGGTTTAAAGAGAAACCTGGCACTTGGGAAATGTGCAGAGATCCACAAGGATGGCCCTAACAAACAATCAAACAATAGTGGGGAGGCTACCTTAAATGCCCTTCCCTGATAATGAGATTGATGACTAACTTATCCACCATCATAGAGCCTTCATCTAGTAGCTGATGGAAATAGAAGCAGACACCTACAGCTAAGCACTGAGTCAAACTCCTGCCATCCAGTTGCATAGAGGGAGGAGTGATGAGCAAAGGGGTCAAGACCAGGCTGGGGAAACCCACAGAGACAGCTGACCTGAACAAGAGGGAGCTCATGGACTCCCAGACTGATAGCTGGGAAACCAGCATTGGACCAACCCAGACCCCCTGAACATGGGTGTCAGTTAGAAGGCCTGGGCAGTCTAAGGGACCTCTGACAGTGGAACCAGGATGTATCCCTGGTGCATGAAAGGACTTTGGGAGCACATTCCCCATGGAGGGATACTTCCTTAGCCTAGAGACATGGGGGGAGGGCCTATGTCCTACCTTAAATGACTTGACAGATTTTGATGATCCCTCATGCGAGGCCTCACCCTCTCTGGGGAGTGGATGGGGGATGGGATGGAGTAGTCTGTGGGGGTAGGAGAGGGAACTGGGGTCGATATGTAAAATAAGAACAAATATTAAATAATAATAATAAAAAGACTACCTCCCCATGTATTAAGGCTGGGCAAGTGAGCCAGTATGAAGAGGAGTAGGATCCTAAAAGCATGTAATTTGGAGACAGCCCCTGTTCCCACTGTTAGGAATCCCATAAGAGGATAAGCTACACAACTGTCACATATATCCAGAGGGCCTAGGTCAGTCCCATAAGGCTCTCTGGTTGTGTGTCCAGTCTCTGTTGAGTACCTATGAGCCAAGGTTAGTTGATTCAGTGAGTTTTCTTGTGGTGTCCTTGACCCTTCTGGCTCCTACACTTGACAATGGGATAGGGTTAGTTGCTTCCTTCCTTCTTTCCTTCCTTCCTTCCTTCCTTCCTTCCTTCCTTCCTTCCTTCCTCTCTCTCTCTTTTGAGACAGGGTTTCTCTGTGTAGCTTTGGAGTCTGTCCTGGAACTTACTATGTAGACCAGGCTGGCCTCAAACTCACAGGTATCCACCTGCCTCTGTCTCCTGAGTGCTGGGATTAAAGGGTGTGTACCACCATTGCCCAGCTGCGTCCTTCCATTTTTAACTACTGGAATTTTGCCTCTTTGTGGAGGTAGCTTCTGATGTACTCTTTGTAAGCATTTGCTTAGTTTTATTTCATGCATATAAGTGTTTGCCTGCATGTGTGTCTATGTGCACCCCCTGGAACTGGAGTTATACATGGTTGTGAATCATCATGTAGGTCTGGGAACCAGGCTTGGGTCTTCTGGAAGAGCAGCCAGTGCTCTTGGCTGCTGAGCCCTCTCTCTGATTCCATCCTGACCCCATTATTCTGTCACCTTACCCTCTCTCTTACAAAGCTTGAAAGCCCTAAGAACTGGTGATAGAGCCATAAGAAGCTTTCTGCTTCTAGAAGGAGAGAGCAGGTTAAAGTGCTCCTCCCTCAGTATAACTAGCACACACACACACACACACACACACACCACAGACACTATACATCATACAGACAAGCACACACACACAAACACACATACAAATACAAACATACAAGCACACAAACACAGCCAACACACACACACACACACACACACACACACACACTCCAAGTTGTAGAAATGAATTATAACTGTCTCTTGTTGCTGGGTGGTGGTGGTGCATGCCTTTAATCTCCCAGTACTCAGGAGTCAGAAGCAGACAGATCTCTGTAAGTTCTAGGCCAGCCTGGTCTACAGAGTGAGTTCTAGGATAGGCTCCAAAGCTACACAGAAACCCTGTCATGAAGAGAGAGAGAGAGAGAGAGAGAGAGAGAGAGAGAGAAGAGTTAGAAGGACACCTCAAGTACATAAATAGGTATGGATATTAGGGATACCATAATGAACAGGAAGATTTTTGGGTCAATGAGATGGTTGGAAGGCAAGGCTCTTCTTGCTGCCAAACTTGCGCTGAGTTAGATTTTTGAACCAGTATTGTGTTGTGAGAGAACCAATTCTTTCAAGTTGTCCTCTGACCGCCACATATGTACCATGACATTCACAGGCATGAGCACACACATATACACATATAAATAAATAATTAAAAAATAAGATCATTTGGGGGAAACCCAAAAAGTATCAATTAAAAAAACACACGTAGTGTCATTTGCTGTTCAGCAGGTTGGCAAAACCCAAAAATCAGAGTCAGTTGAGAATTTCAAGTCCTGGGAACTCTGCTATGTATTACAGATAGGACTAGAGATAGGTATAGACAGCCTGAAAGACTGAAGACGAGCCCTACTCAACTCTGAAATTCTGCTCCTAAAATATCCATTTAAAGTGATGCATGTGTGAGTGGACTGTATATGTACACATACACAAGTACACGTATCATTAAAAATAAACTATTGACCATAAGAGGAAGCAGAGCAGATGGCACCGGCTGTGTAAAATGTAAGGCGATGAGAACTTGCATATCACCCTGCTTGAGGATTAAGTGTGTAACAATACTGCCGTGGAGTTAAAGGAATCCAGTCTGTTCAGCTGCATTCAAGAGGGTTGATATGAACAGCCAGGGGGAGAACACAGTAACAATAGTGTTCTGCTTTGTTCATTGGGTGGTGGACACATGGAGCTCATTGTCATGATACAGACTAGGGTATTAGGTATAAGTGTATACCTATCTTAGGGTTCCATTGCTGTGGAGAGACACCATGACCATGGCAACATTTACAAAGGAAAACATTTAACTGGGGCTAGCTTATAGTTCAGAGGTTTAGTCTATTATCACCGTAATGGCGGTGTGCAGGCAGACTTGGTGCTGGGGAAGGAGCTGAGAGCTCTACATCTTGACCTACAGGCAACCAGAAGTGAATTGAGCTTCAGAGACTTCAGTATCCAACCCCCAATGACATATCTCCTCGGACAAAGCCACACCTATTCCAACAAAGGCCACTTTCTAAAAGTGGGCCTGTGGGGACTAGTTTATTCAAACCACCACAATACCCTTAAAATTTGTTTAAAATTTTAAATCGTGCATGTGTGTCTGCTCGGGAGCATGCGCACATGAGTGCAGATGACCACACAGGCCAGAAAAGAATGTTGGATCTCCTGGAGATGGAATTGAAGGATGCTTTCAGCTACATGGGTAGCTGGGTGTTGATCTTGGGGCTTCTGTTAAGAGTAGCAAGTACTCTTAACTGCTGAGCCCTAATCCTAGGTAGATTTCCATTGCTTTGATAAAATCCTAAGACCAGAAGCAACTTGGGAAGGGAAGGACTTATTCCACCTTATAACTTAGAGCTCGACATCCAGGCAAGTCAGGTCAGGAATTCAAAGCAGATACCATGGGTGCTGCTTACTGGCTTGCTCCCTATGGCTTGCTCAGTCTGCTTTCTCATAGCCCCCAGGCCCACCTGTTCAGGGGTGAGCACAGTAGAATGGGCCCACTCCAATCAATCAATCAATCAATCAATCAATCAATCAATCAATCAATCAATCAATCACTAATCAGGAAAATATCCTGGAGACTTGCCTATGGGCCAGTCTGATGAAGGTATCTTCTCCATTAAGATTTCCTCTTCCAGGGCCTGGAGAGAGGTGGCTCAGCCATTAAGGGCATTGGCTGCTCTTCCAGAGGTCCTGAGTTCAATTCCCAGCAACCACATGGTAGCTTACAACCATCTATAATAAGACATGGTGCCCTCTTCTGGCTTGTAGGCATACATGCAGGTGGAACATTATATACACAATAAATACATCTTTTAAAAAAAGACAAGAAAACCCCAAAAACAAAAAAGGAAAAGAAAATTCCTTCATCCAGAGGAGCATTAATATTGAGCAAAGGGGACAAGACCATGTTGGGAAAACCCACAGAAGCAGCTGACCCAAGCAAGTGGGAGCTCACTGACTCCAGACTGACAGCTGGGGAACTTGCATAGGACCAAACTAGGCCCTCTTGAATGTGGGTGACTATTTATGGGGCCACTGGCAGTAGGACCTGCTATTTATTCCTCCCTAGTGCATGAGCTGACTTTTTGGAGCCCATTCCCTGTGGAGAGATACCTTGCTCAGCCTAGATACCGAGGGCCTTGGTCCTATCTTAAGTGATATGACAGACTGTTAACTCCCCAATGGGAGGTTCACCCTCTCGGAAGAGTGGATGGCAGGTAGGATGGGAGGGACAGGGAGGGAGGGAGAGGAACTGGGATTGGTATATAAAATAAAATATATAAATAATTAAAAAACTTCAAAAGAGGGAAATCAAGAGATCCCCTCTCCCCAGAGATGTTTGTGTCGAGTAGACGAAAGCAACCGGCACAGATAGATGTTATACATCTTGTGTCCCCTCACCGCGGTCACCCTTTCTCACTTTTCCTGGATGCTCATTTACACAGCTCTACAATCGCATCAGCCGTGTAAGACCCACGCTCTTAAATACGCGTGCCTTCTCCCATTATGGTGAAGGGTTTCCTCATGGGAGTCCTGAAGCCACCAAACGGTAAGGACAGGAAGAGAAGCCAACTTACGCCAGCTCCCTGACGTGACTCATTATCAGGTGGTTTATACCGGGCACATATAGGCGGCTTTTTCTCAGAAGCAGCGTCCTCAGCGGTGTACGCCTTTGACAATCTCTAGGGGTGGCCTTATGGTATTCCAACCTAGAGACATACATGGCAAGCCTTACTCCTGGGGTAAATGGTGCCCACAGAGGCCCTCCATTTTACCTCATATTCTATTTTTTTTTAAATAAGGATAATTGCAGGAGTTACTTCTAGCTTCTCAGCCATAAAGTTGAGGAGACACCAACCAATCAACCAACCAACCGACCAACCAACCAACCAAGCTTCCTGGAAGAGAACTCTCTAACGTGTTGAGTTGCCAGGAAGTTGTGCAGTGAGGTTTAAGCTGCCAGCTCTTGTGAGTCATCCCCTCTACCCTCCCCCTCCCCCGCCCCGGCCATGCTAGGGTGGCTTTCAGTGGTACAACTGGTTTTGAGTAGTCTATGCTCCTGTAAATAGCCCTTCACCTATACAACTCATTGGTCTCTAAGTTGGACTTTGGAGGTATCATTACTTCGGTGTGTTGTCAGTCCTGTATCTGGGGCGGGTGGATATTTGTTCCCATCTCTCCAGGAATAGTGTCGCAAAGCAGCGGGGTCAAGGAGGAAATGTACCCAAAGCATATTATATTCTATGTGAACATGTCCCTATTAAATCGAATCCATCACCTTGTACAATAAATACATGCCAGTAAGAGCTTAGAAAAAGAAACTGGAGGCTGGAGAGATGACACAGCACTGGCTGATCTCGCAAAGGACCTTCGTTCAGTTCCGAGCACCCACATGGTCCCTCACAACCATCTGTAACTGCAGTTCTAGGAAATCTGGCGCCCTCTTCTGGCCTCTATGGGCACTGCTGGCATGTGGTGCATATACATATATGTAGATAAAAATCCATACACACAAAATAAACAAATCTGAACATTAAAAAAAAATTCCTAAAAATATGCAAAACCCAAAAAGAACAACAAAGCGAACACATGATCTAACAATTCCGTTTCTGGGCGTTATCCAACGAAATTGTCATCAGTTTATACTGTTAAAGTTGAATAAAACTAACAGTAGCTGGGTGTAAGGAACCCTGGCTGGCACAGAGCACCTGACGCAACTGTTCATTCTGCAGAGACCACCCCCGCCCAAGTGCTGTCAGTAATTCCAGCCTCTGCCTTCACCTGACAGACTGCAGGGGACAGTGTCCATCTCAGTGTGATACACGGGATTTTGTGGCCTTACCTCCTAGTCTTATGCATTCTATTCTCAGATGTCAAAGATGCTGGTTTTCATTCAAAACATGGAATGAGTCCTCCTGCAACATTATGACTCACATGCCTCAAAGTAGAGGATGAAACAGCATCCCATTACCAAAGGCTTCAGTGATCTCTCTCTCTCTCTCTCTCTCTCTCTCTCTCTCTCTCTGTGTGTGTGTGTGTGTGTCTGTGTGAGGTCAGCTTTGGATGCCTTCCTCATTCACTCTCAACCTTACTTTCATAAAGATTTTCTTTTCATTAATGCATGAATGCGAGTGTGTGCATCTATGGGTGTGTGAACCGACTGTTTGCAGGTATCCAAGGAGACCATCAGGGGACATCTGCATTGCTATGCGGCTAGAGTTCCTGGCAGTTGTGACTCAAGTCACCCAATGTGGGTGCTAAGGACTGAACTTCAGTCCTCTGTAAGAGCAAGCACCTTTAACTACTGACCTATCTCTCCAGCCCTTCTAACTTTTTTTTTTTTGAGGCAGTGTCTTTCAATAGACCTAGAGTTCACTGGTTCTTGTAGACAGACTGGTCATCGAGCCCCGAGGATCTCTAGGATTATTTCTTTTAACGCGGGTGCCAGGGATTTGAACTCAGGTCTTTATACTTTTGCAACAGGCACATTACAGACAGATTTCTCCTCCTCAGCCCTCACCTCTACCATTTCTGCGGTCATCAGCCCCCAATAACACGATGACAGCCGATGAGACAGATGGGGTCTTGGGAGGTTAACAAGTGACTAGAGCATCATCTCTCAAGACCACACAAATGCAGTTGTGTCGGTGCCATGATTGAAAGCAATGAGTAGGAATGAATGAACAGCTTAGACAAAGCATATATGACTCTTCATGTGTCTGTTCTTATCTCTTCCTCCAATCTGTTCAGTGGAAGGACCTAGTATAAGTTTTTCAGTGAACACTGGGCATTTTCTCCTTGAGGTACATATGCAAATTGACTTACATTATCCCAGCAAAGCACCCAGCATCCTTTGTGTGTGTTTGTGTGAGTATGTGCATGTTGAGTGAGTGAGTGTTTGTGCTTGTGTTGAGTATGATGTTAGTGTGTGTGCATGTGTGTTGAGTATGTGTATGTGTTCCCGTGTGTGTGTGTTGAGTGAATGTCTGCATGTGTGTTGAGCATGTGTGTGTGCTGAGTGTGTGTATACTTATTCCCATGTGTTTTGTGTGTGTGTGTGTGTGTGTGCTTGTGTGTACATACATGCCCATGTGCAGATGCCCACAGAGGCCAGAAAGGGACATCTAATCCCTTGGTGCTGGAATGATAAGTTGTGAACTGCCAGGTATGGAACTGAACTCAGGTCTTTTGCAAGATCAGTACAAGCTCTTAACCACTGAGCCACCACTCCACCCCCCATTATGACCTTTTATGGGTAAGGGCACACTGATACCCATCAGAGTACATTAGCAGAAACCCAGTAACCCATCATGAAATGTGCCCCTTTGCACGCCTTCTGGCTCCCTAGTATGTGGTTTCACTTACCTCCGAACTCAGATTCACTTTCTGAGCACAGGAATCATCCTACTGAGAGCTGAACACAGCACACCCGTCAATAGTGAATGGGTGGAAAGTGTGGTATATTTCAGTACAACTGAATACGATTCAGCCTAGAAAAACAGTGACACCCGGGCTGGGGAGATATTCAGTGGGCAGAGCACTTGCTGCCCAAGTGTAAGACCCGAGTTCGGATCCCAGCACTTGAATCAAACACAGGGCACTTGCAATCCCAATGTTTCAGAGGAAGAAACAGGAGGATCTCAGGGGCTTTTGGCTAGTCAGCCGAGATGAATGGCTGAGCTCTATGTTCAGTAAGAGAGCCTGACTCAAGGAGGGAGGGACAATTAAAGTACCCAACATTGACTTCTGGCCTTCACGCTCACTATGCACACTAACACCTACAGCAACAACAACAACAACAAAAAATACGCACAAAAATGCCATAAAGAAACACATTTCAATTGTAAAGCATCGAGAGCCACTAAAATCAACGCAATTATTAAAAAAAAAAGTCTAAGGTGCGATACTTCTTGCACGTCAAGTGTGAAATGGAGGAACAAGGAAGTTAAATAGAAATGGATGTTTCCGTGGCTTTCCTTCCAGCTAGGAAGTGGTCACTGTCGTGTGGGATACACTTGTCTTTGCTACTTGTTGGGATTTGAATTTGAAACCCTATAGGTTCGTGTGCTTGAACACTTGATCTGTGGTTGGTGGTGCCCTTTGGTGAGGCCATGGAACCTACAGGATGTGGGGCCTCCCTGGAGGAAGTGGGTGTTGAGGTTTCATAGCTCAGACTCATTTCTTGTTCTCCTGTGTGTGTCTGTGTGTGTGTGTGTGTGTGTGTGTGTGTGTGTGTGTGAGTGTGTGTCTGAAACGGGAACCACCATCTTCCTGTTCCTACTGCCGTGTCCTTCCCGAGTGTTGCCAAGCCCTTCCCCAGCATGGTGGGCTCCATCTCTTTGGAACTGTGAGCTGAAATAAGCCCTTTCTCCCTTCAGATAAAACATGTCAGCATATTTTGTCATAGTAACAGAAAAGCAAGCAAATGTAGAAAACGGGACTCACCGTAGTTCTGGCTGCCTCAGGGCCTTGTTGAATATCTGCATGATTGGGGCTTCCAGGTGGCTGTCAGACACAGCCAGCATTTCCAAATTTTCAGTTGTTTCAAACACAGAGCAGATATCTTGCCACCAGTTGAAAACAATCTTATTCTCGTTCATTCTAAGTGAAAGGAAGATTTAAAAAAGGGGGGGGGCAGGGGTCCAAGATTGAGTTAAAAGTTGAATAAGGAGCCTGGGAACCCGCAGGCCACTCCAGCCAGGCAAGCAGGTAGGCTAACTGCAGACCTTCACCTCCCCTGCAGCTCCTCCTAAACCAGTCCCCCAGTCTTATCCCCAACTCTGCAGCAGACACCTCCCCAGGCTTCCCCTTCCCACTTCCTCCAAGCGTCCCTCCTCCCCGTTCATTGCTTTATCTCAGCCTCCAACTCCAACAGGCATTGTCAGGGAGCCCACAGGCCACTCTGGACAGCTGAGCTGGCGGGCTAACAAAATCTTCACCTCTCTCTCCATTCCTCCAAGTCCAATCCCCAGTCTCATCCCCAACCCTGTAGCACACCTTCTGCTGTGACCTCTCCTCACTCTCTGCCCCATTTCCAAGGGGCTAAGCAGATCCTGATAGGACACCCACTTTTCTCCCCTGCCTAGCCTAAACTCATTCCTAAGCGCCAGCTCCCGATACTGATAGCTAGAAATACGTTCTATCTGGGACCCCCACTGGCCACAAATATTCCAGAAGAGTTCCCTACCAAGCAAAACACAACCACCACCACAATCTCCTAAGAACCAGAGATGGCCCCAGAAACCAGGAACAAAACATCCACCAAATAAAGAGAAGAACGGATATCAGCACCTAGAATTACAATCCTCTCAACCCCAGACACCTTTATGCCAGTATAAAAACACAACAGTAACAACCAAGACAGTATGTCTTCACTAGACGCCAGCAACCATAGCTCAGCAAGCCCTGATTATTCCAATATAGTAAACGACCTTAAAAAAAAGCCTGTCTGAAAATAGAGGTCCTTAAAGGGGAAAAAAATAAATCCCTTAAATCTATAAAAACACACAGTGGAAGGAAATGAATAAAATAGTTCAAGGCCTGAAAATGGACGTAGAATCCATAAAAAGCCAAACTGAGGCAAATCTAAAGTAAAAATGTAGGAACTGCCAGGTGTTGGTGGCCTACACCTTTAATCCCAGCACTCAGGAGGTAGAGACAGGCAGATCTCTGTGAGTTCAAAGCCAGCCTCATCTATAGAGCTAGTTCCAGGACAGGCTCCAAATCTACAGAGAAACCCCATCTCAAAAAAAAAAACAAAACAAAACAAAACAAAACAAAAACAAAACAAACAAAAGAACACAGAATAGGCTGTACTAGAAAAGAAATTTCCTTTGGCACATAATAGAGAAAATAATATATTCCTTGACAAATTCAATTTAAACAATATTTATACAAATCCAGTCCTACAGAAGGCCCTGGAAGGAAAACTCCAAATTAAAGAGGTTAATTACACCCAAGAAAATAAAAGGAAAAAATAAACCAAGACCAAGGAATCAAATGAAGGGAAACACACACACACACACACACACACACACACACATACACACACCCAAAAATAAAAATAGGACTCAACAAATTCTTCTCATTGATCTCTCTCATTGTCAGTGGTCTCAATATCTTAACAAAAAGACACAGACCAACAGAATGGGTTAAAAGACATGACCCATCCTTTTGGCTGCATCCAAGAAACACACCTTAACACCAAAGACAGACATCACTTCAGGGTGGAATGATGGAAAAAGATATCCCAAAGAATTGGATCCAAGAAGGAAGTTGGTAGCCTTTGATTCCAGCACTCAGGGGGCAGAGGCAGGCAGATCTTTATGGGTTCTAACGCAGTCTGCCAGCTCAGTCTACAGAGGGATTTCCAGGACAGCAGGAACTACACAGAAAAACCCTGTCTTGGCAAATGGAAGAAGAGGAGGAGAAGAAAGAAGAGGAGGAGGAGGAGGAGGAGGAGGAGAAGAAAGCTGGTGTAGCCATTTTAATTGCTGACAAAATAAACTTCAAAACAGAATCAACCAGAATCAACTGGAGAGACAGTGTATACTTATCAGGAAAAAAAATCCAACAAGAGGACACTGTAATTCTTGACATCTATGCCCCAAACACAAGATCACCCCTCCCCATATACACTGTTTTCTTTAATAAAGGAAACACTACTATAGCTTAACTCACATACTGACTCTCACACACGGATAGTGGGAGACGTCAATATCGTACAGTCACCAATAGACAGGGTCATATAGACAAAATCCAAACAGAGAAATGTTGGAGCTAACAGACATTATAAAACCAAATGCACCTAACAGATATTTACAGAACATTTCACCCCAACACACAGAAAAATACCTTCTCTACCGCTTATGGAAATGTTTCCAAAATGGACAGTGTACTCAAACACAAGGCAAATCAGATACAAGAAAATTGAAATACTCCTCCTGTATCCATGGACTAAGGTGGTCTAGCAACAGCAGAAGCAACGGAAAGCTTACAAACTCATGGAAACTGAACAGCTCACCACCAAATGAAAATTCGATCAAGACAGGAATTAATAAAGAAGGGAAAGACTTCCTAAAATTGAATGAAGGTGAACATACAACACACTCACACTTATGGGACACAAGGAAGGCAGTTCTGAGATGCAAGGTCATAGGAAAAATGTCTATATTAAAAAATGGAGACATCTCATGTTAGCAACTTAACAGCACACCCAAAAGCTCTAGAACAAAAGGAAGAAAACATAATCAAAAGGAATGGATTGAAAGAAAGAATCAAACTCAGGGATGAAATCAATAAAATAGAAACATCATCAACAACAAAAACCAATGAAAAGAATCAATGAAACGAAGAACTGGTTCCTTGATTAAAATTGGTAAGATTGACAAACCTTAATCTAAATTGACTAAAAGGTACAGAAAGAAAACTCAAGTTAACAAAGTTAGATGTGAAAATGGGACCATAACAACAGATACCAAGGAAATCCATAGAATCATATTCTCCACCAAATGGGAAAATCCAAAAGAAATTTTCTCCATACATACAACTTACAAAAGTTAAGCCAAGTTCAGGTAAACAATTTAAATAGATCTATATCCCCTAGTGAAATAGAAGCACTCACTAATTATCCCAAACTCAACAAACCTAGGGATAGATTGTTTTAGAGCAGAACTCTAACAGAATTTTCAAGGAGAGTTAATGACAATATTCCTAACATTATTAAACATTATAGGAACAGAGGGAACACTGACAAATACATTTTATGAGGATACAGTTAAAACTTGATACCCAAACCGAATAAAGACCCAGCAAAGAGAATTACTGACTAATTTCCCTTATGAACATGTATGCAGAATTACTCAATAAAACACTCAAAAACTGAATCCAAGGACACATTAAAAATATCATTCACCCTGATCAAGTAGGCTTCATCTCAGATATACAGGGATGGTTCAACATATGAAAATCAGTAAATATAATCCAGCATATAAACAAACTGAAAGAAAAAAAATAACACATGATGATCTCATTAGATGCCGAGAAGCCTTTGACCAAATGCAACACCATTTCATGATAAAAAAAAAAAGTCTTAGAGAGATCAGGCACACAACAGACATGCCTAAACATAAAAAAGGCAATGTACAGCAAGCCTATAGTCAATATCAAATTAGATGGAGAGAAACTCAAAGCAATTCCACTAAAATCAGGGACCATATATGGTTGTTGACTCTCTCCACGTCTATTCAATACAACACTTAAAGCCTTAGTTAGAGCAATTAAGACAACTGAAGGAGATCAAGGGGATACACATTGGAAGGAAGAAGCCAAAGTATCTTTATTTGCAGATAATATGATAGTATACATCGTAAAAATTCCAGCATGGAACTTCTACAACTGATAAATACTTTCAGTAAAGTAGCCAGATACAAAACTACCTAAAAAACAAACAAACAAACCAGTAGCCCTCCTATGTACAAATGAGAAACAGTCTGAGAAAGAAATCAGGGAAACAACACCTTTCACAATATCTTCAGATACTATAAATATACTGGGGGTAACACTAACCAAATGAAAGATCTGTATGATACAAACACTGAAGAAAGAAATTGAAGAAGATATCAGAAGATGCAAACAGTTCCCATGTTCATGGATGGATAGGATTAACATAGTAAAAAATGGCCATCTTGGGCCACAGAGCCAGGAGGAAGAGCTCCAAAGTAGAGCTTAGACATGGCCTGGGGTCCTCACCAGCTAAGTGAAACTCATTTGGACACTGTTGCCAATCCCAAAAGAGGAAAGTGGCTCAGGTTCTGGGCCCGCGACACCTGCTTGTGCCGACTGACCTTGGCAGATTATGCCAACTTGGATCCAGTGGTGGTGAGGTCTGGACTGGTCAAGAAAGCCATGGCTAAGGCTGCTCAGCAGGAGGCTCTTTCTGGGGTGGGTGAGCTGTGTGACATAATGGACAGCAGTGATGAGATGGACATTCAGGAGGAAAGTACTCATGAAAGGTCGGTCTCCAGAGAAAAGAAGAGCAAGAGACTCGTGGATGGGAGTGCAGGAGAAGCTATGGGCATTTGGTTGTTGCTCGCTTCCTATATCCATCCCGAGGACACTGTGAATGTTTCCCTTATTTGTGAGGATGCTTGGACCATGACTTTTACTGCTGCCTTTTGGACCAAGTCATGCTGAAGGTGCGGCCACACAGAGCCAGCTTTTTCTCTGCAGTTGATTCCATAGCTGTTTGTGATTTGGCGTGAGTGAGGCCCGAGACGATGGTTATCTTTTCATTTTCATTACTTTGTTCCTTGGCAGGACCCTAGATTTGGACCTCTTGATATTTCTCTAAATCTTATGTTAGTGTAAAAAAAAAAAAAAGAACTGAAACAAAAAATAAAAACAAGAATGATGGCCACCTTGCCAAATGCAATTCCCATCACAATCTCAAAATAATTCTTCACTCAGTTTTAGAGGACAGTTTTTAGGTTCATATGGAAACACACACACACACACACACACACACACACACACACAGGAAACCAGGAAACTACAATAACCCTGAATAATAAAAATACCCCGGCAGGCATCACTAACTCCAGTTTCAAATTATACAGCATGGTGTTGATACAAAAGCAGACATAGCAGTCAACAGAATCAAATTGAACCTCCAGACAGAAACCCTATCTATGGACCCCTGAATTTTGATAAACAAGCCAGAAATACACAATGGAAAAAGTGGAGATGGAACCCATACCTGACACTGCTTCTGTGACCAATAACCAGAGACTAGATAGTCCAGAGACCTAAGATAAAACCAAATACTGCTGGTCTAAAGCAAACACAGTAGCAATAAAATGACTCCTAATGACACTCGGTTACACTCAAAGAGCAAAGGGGATGGAGGGCATCCATCCGGAGAACGAGGCCCTCTAACTCAACATGAGCAAAGCTCATAAGAACTCGCAGAGGCTGAGGCAGCATGCACAGGTCTGCACCACCCCTGAATACATGCTATGGCTTCCAGTTAGTGTTTTTGTGGGGTTCCTGAGTTTGTGAATGAATGGGTCTCTGTTTCTTGTATGTTCTCTTGGGTTCTCTCTTTATGTTGGTTTTGTCCAATTCCAACGTATTTCCCTTTCCCCCTCTTATTATACTATATTCCATTACAGCTTATTTTATTCTATTATCATCCCCTAGAAGCCTGTTTTTTTAGAGACAGAGAGGGGAGGCATCCAGATGGGAGGGGGCAGGGAGTAAATGGGAGTTGTATAGGGAAGAAAAATCACAATCAGGATATGACATGCGAGAGAAAAATCTATTTCTAATAATAGAAAAAAATGCATGAAAAAAATTGAGAAAGCATGTGGTTGGCATTTAGCATAGAAGAGTCAGGCCAGTTGTGGTGGCACACACCTTCAATGCCAGAATTCAGGAAACAGAGGCAGGTGGAGCATATGTATCATAATTTAAAAACTACCCAGGTGGCTGCATAGAGTGTCTCAGAGAAATTGCTGCTCTTATAAAAGAGCAAGGTTCGATTCCCAGGACCACTCATGTGTTGGTTGGCAACAATCTGTAACTCCAGTTCCGGGGGGACCCAGTGCCCTGTTCTGGCCTCTCTCTCTCTCTGTCTCTCTCTCTCACACACACACACTCACTCACACACACACACATACTCACTCACACACACAAACAGGCAGGCAAAAATGTCAACATGCATTAAATAAGACCTAAATGAAACAGATCAGTAACAAGAGTCAAAACACAATTGCTCCCCGAGTCCCCAGGAGGTAAGAACCCTAGAGAGAGGCAGGTTACGACCCCAAACTAAACACTCACCGAATGACATAGGAAGAGGAAGAATCGGCTGAGCTGTGCCAGAGATCCTTGTAGAAGTCTTCTGAGAGAGTCAGTTCTACTTTCTTCAAATCTCGACAGCACTGAAGGCAAAAGGCAGATGTCTGAAGGTCTTCCTGGTTCTCGATCTTCAGAGAAACTCCCTGACACCTCTCCAGCACACGCACTGCAAAGCTCTCCTCCCTGGTTTCGGTGAGACAGAGGAATAGCTGTGAGTGGTCATAGCCCTCACGGTCACTCACTTTTGTGGCCTTTAGTTTGTTAGCCAAGCATAACTTGCAGTTGAAGGATCTCTCCACAATGTTGACACATTGTTCGTTTAACAGACCAAAGAAGAAAAGCCCCATTTGAGCTGCACAGCTTTTTTTTTCTCTTGATACTTCGATCAGGTGCCAGATGTTCAAAAGGCTCAACGAGTGATAATACACCATTCTTTGGGGGAAAAAGAGGACATAAAACAAGGCACCAAAAAGTTCCTGGAAGGTAAACAAGGCAAATACATAACGATCTCCTTGGCCTTCTAGCTTTCGAAGAATGTTTGTATGAAGAAAGATGTCTATGGTGGTCTCATCCACCATGAAATACTGAAAGTCGCTCTTGTTAAACACACTCTTCAGGCCCCACATGCCCTGGGCAGCCAGATGGCACAAACCTTCCAGCTGATTTTGATAATGACCATGGGGAAATTTCTTAAATACATGTCGGAACAAATTACCCAGATACAAGACAAACACAGACGTTGCGTTTGGACAAGCCTTTGTGAGATCTACTACCATATTTTGTATTTGATTTTTCAGACAACAACATACCACCCAGCATACCACAGGGACCTGACACATGGACAAGAGAGTGGTGTTTCTCATGACAAAATCCACAGCTTGGTTGCTTGTCATTTTGCTTGTGAAATGCAACCTGAGATAGTTGAGTACTTCAGTTTTATTAAACCCGGTCAGGGTGGCATGGAACGGATGTTTGACTAAGAGTTTAATTCCATCCCAGGAGGTTGGTCTCACCATGATCAGGAGTGTGGCTTCTGGAAGCATTGTTTTGCTTAGCAAACTGCTTAGAAGAACAGACCCAGGCAACTTCTTGTTCCAGTCTTCCATCAGACCAGCTGGGTCTGTGATGAGGGGAAATGAGAGTTCCTCAAAGCCATCAAACATGAGCAGTAGTTGATCTGGACTGGATAAAATCTTAGACACGAGAGCCCGAGGCCTAAGCCTTTGGCCCTCAATCAACTCAGAGAAGCTGCGCTCTCCCGCCCAGGCCAGTTCTCGGCAATGGAAATAGAAAGCATACTTGAATTTGTGTGCATAGAACCTGTTGTATGCCCACATCACCATTATCATTCTGGCCAGGGTTGTTTTCCCAATACCAGGAATCCCGTGAATCACCACAGTTTTAGGCTGTGTGCCATGGGGCTTCCTGGGTAGAAAGAGACATTGCAAAATTGCCTCGTGTTTTTCCACCTGGACGTACAAGAAGTCTGCTTGGTTTCCAGGCCAGATGGTGTTGTCCCATACAGGGGTGGCCTCTTTTATCACACACTGTTTGTACTTCTGTATTTCATCTAGAATCATAAAGAAAAACAGAGAGCTCCTTTAGAGGTTTTCAGAGCACCAGTGGAAAACAAACGCACTTGCATAAATCCACTCCAATCTCCACTAGACATTTGCTTTCCCCTTGGAATCCATCTTCCCACTCACAAGCCCTTGAACCAGATTGCAAGTCACATAATACAGAGATACAGCCATGGGGATATTCATGACAGTGTTGTTCACTGACATTAGGGAACCACCCAAGCTAAGGCCTAGCTACAGCAGGCATCTTGATCCATTCTTCTATCCCTCACTGTCTAGAGATATCAGAAATAGGATTTTAGGGGGAAACTAAACCAAAACAAAACAAATTATGCTAATGTGTAACAGACTCTCTCAAATTGTACAAGGAAACTTGGACCCAGAGGGCAGTAAGAGCCAAAGGAAAGCATCCTATATTATAAATGCAGTCAGACTTCTACTTTCTATGGTTTCTGCAATGTGTTTTCAACCAGCTACCTATTGAAAACACTTTAAAAAACTGCATTTGTGTTGAACATGTACCTACGTTTAAAAATCATCGTTCTCCAAACAATTCAATATAACGACGATTTGCAGATCTGGCAAGATGGTTCAGTGGGGAAAGTTTCATGCATGATTCCCAGGAGAGAACTGACGCCAGAAAACTCTGTGTGTGTGTGTGTGTGTGTGTGTGTGTGTGTGTTTACACCTAAACATAAATAAAAGAAAACCCCAATTATTTGCTTATAAAATTTACGTTATTGTAGGTATCATATCGGACATCTAAAGCACATTCACTTCCTCCAGGGCCCAGAAATAATTGAGGAAGATGATGCAGAAAGATAGTAAGCACCAGAGGTAGTGAATATCTGTAGCAGGAAAGCATTTTCTGGATCTGACAGGGCCATTGTACTCAGGAACTCACAAAGCCCACGACAGCATGCATAGGGCCTGTACAAGATCAAGCCAACCAGAATCTCAGCATGGAAGTGGGAGGGCCTCATAAAATCCTACCCCTAGTCTAGAAGCTATTAGCAATTGATGGCTTCTAGTGGAGGGAGAACGGGCTTTCTTCAGGGTGTGGTCCCTGAGATGCTGCCTATACTCCAGTAGATGGCTCTTGTCTTAGGGTTTTATTGCTGTGACCATGGCAAGCCTTAAACGAAAACATTTAATTGAGGTGGTGGCTACGGTTTCAGAGGTTCAGTCCATCATCATCAGGATGGGGAGCAAGGCAGTGTGCAGCCAGATGTGGTGCTGAGCAGCTAAGAGTCCTACATCTTGATTCAGAGGCAACAAGGCAGTGGAGATTACCATCATGACGGGTGAAGCTTGAGGAAAGAGACCTCAAAGCCCGCCCCCACAGTGACAGTGACACACTTCCTATGGCCAGGCCACACCTCCTAGTAGTACCCTCTCTATGGGGGCACTTTCTTTCAAACCATCACAGCTCTACACCATTGCACATTTTGGAAGGGCTAAGTGTGCCCAGCGAGTGCGTGAAGTTAGGAGAGAACAGTGTCACGCGGTTTTGGGAACAATGGAGATAGACTTGATCAAAACACACTGTATGCACACATGGAATTCATGAGCAATGAGAAGAGAAACAACACGTTGGTGATTTGAAGTGCACAGGTGGGGTGCGTGTAGGTTGAATGCAAATACTGTATCATTGCATATACGAGACTTGAGCACCCATGCATTTTGATAAATTCCCCTAAGATATGGGGAACTACCTACACACTAGTTTTTCTTAACTAATTGTAGATTTTTTCCCCCCCAGCTAACGTGACCTTTGCTGTTCACGGAACTCAATTTGAGGAGTTTTTCTGGAAGCATCGGGAGATACACTCTCATGCCGGTGCTCTTTAAATTAGCTTTGGGTGAAGCTGGCTCCTGTGCAGGCAGGCCAGAGAGACTGCTCAAAACCGGGTTCTACAAAAGGCTGGCCCTTAAGGAAGACAGAAGAGCATCTTTTATGATGTTCCTAGATTTCCTGTATCCAGGTGGGTTGGAGGCTGGACTTCCTGTAGTCGCACAAATTCACAAACATTATTTTTGCCTAAAATCTGATGAGTAGAAGAGACACTATCCACCTTCATGTACAGCCTACCCGGCTTCTTGTTTCGAGTCTGTACCCCATTTTTACCCAACTGGCACAGTACCAGCACATACCACATTCTTCTTTCGTCAGAGTCAGTGTGTTTTTCCTTAGATGGAAGTCCAGTGGTGCCAAGGCAGGAAGAATGCCTGCAACAGACGAGAAAATGACTATCCCATCAGAATGAACTCCTCAGCACGGCCTAATGGACATTATACTGGCAAATTGTCATGTGCAACTTAAGGCGATTGAGAAGCTGGCTCTGAAGGTGGCCTCCCTGTCTCTATACTTCAGATCCAAGCATACACATACATACATACATACATACATACATACATACATACATATATATATATTCAAGTGTTCTCCATGACCCTTAATTTCTGGCGGTGAGAGTTTTTTTGTTCTAACTCCATGGCAGGAGGAGAATAAAACAAGTCAAGAATAAAAACATTATGTCCTCGAGAAGCGCTGGAAGGTGAATCATCTCCAACAGAGGTTTACTATTTATTCTACAATATAAAATTATCTATAGTGGGAAACAGAAGCCTGGAATTCAGTCATGGAGAAAAAGTACCACTCATGAACTGTGGCCGACTGTCTCAACATCTCCGGTAGGTTTCTACTGCATGCTGTAACTCCTAATTCGATGACATCAGCTCTATTGTTACTGTTTCTTGTGCTTGGAAGCCTCATCCAAGGGGGTTCTCTACTCTTCCAAGGACCTTCCTCGATCTCTGGAAGGCTAGCAGGCTGCCTTTTTCAGACATCTATATTTCCTAAGCACCTTAAATGCAATTTAAAGGTAGTTTTAAAAATGAGGTGGGGCTATTCGGGTCACAGCACAAGCGTGAAAGCCAGAAAACAACCTGAGATTCAGGGGTTTCTCCTCTGTGTGATTTTCAAGGCAGGGTTTCTCTCTCTCTCTCTCTCTGTCTCTCTCTCTCTCTCTCTCTCTCTCTCTCTCTCTCTCTCTGTCTCTCTGTCTCTCTGTATCTCTGTATCAGAACTGTAGCTCCAGGATGCTCCTGGCTAGCTGGCTTAGAAGCTATTGCCCAATTCTCCGATCTCTGCCACCCAAATTGCTGTAAGAATACCAGGATTTCAGATGTATACCACCACATTCAGCTTTTATAAAAACGCAGGTTCTGGAGGCCAAACTCAGGTTGTCAGGATCACACTGCAAGTGTATTTACCATGCCTGCAACCACTTTCTAGCACTGAAGACAGTCGTATACAACATTTTTAGTGTCCCCTGAACCATGTCCCCTCCATGAAGATAGTTTTTATGCAATGCTTTTAGTGTGCCTATATCTTTTTAATAATTTATTTATTCATTTAAATACATACATAAATAAATCATTTTATATTCCAACCACATTTCTCCCTCCCACACCTCCTCCTGCCCCCTCATCTCCCTTCTACAAGCCTACCTCCAGTCTACTCCTCCTCATGGGTAATGGCTCCCACGAGGAGTCAACAAAATCTGTGTGCCCATATCTTACCTACAGTACACCCCATGAGCTCAGACATGGGATTTCCCACTTGCGGAATAATCAGGTTCATGGCCCAAATGTTTGATAGTCTCAAGTGTTTCATATGGGTAACCTAACCTACGGTCAGTGAGATGGCTTGTGGGTAAAGGCATCCACATGGTGAAGGGCAAGGGCTGACCCCTGATGGCTGTCCGTTGACTACACTATGTACGGTGATGGCATGTGTTCACCCCTACACCCACATAAAATGAAATGTAATAAATATAACCAAAATGCACACATACATGCATGCACATATATGTGTACATATATGAATGTGCATACATTGTGCACAGTTACGTGTGTAACATGCACATATTCACAGTTTTTTTTTACTACTCACACTGTGTTAGCCAAGACCATGGGTCACCTGAGAAGTCAGAGTTAGACAGGGTCTCAACGTAGTGCTGGGTGTTCTGGAGCTTGCTACATCGACCAGGCTGGCCCCAAACTCACAGAGAGCCACCTGCCTATGATTCCCAGGTACTGGGATTTAAGATGTGTGCCACCACACTGAGCTTAGGAAGTCAGTTTCTTGTTACTATATTTTCATCAACATTGTACTGCATGTTGTCTTACATATATCATAATTAATCATAAGATTATCTTGCATAGTTCATAGTTAGAGGTATCTTATTCAGTATATTATTTGAATATATTTGCTTAACACATTATTTAAATGTTTTGTCAAATATATTCCATTTGATATACTGTATAGATATTGTTGATTCGTTAACATTGGACTCACAGACAACAATGTAAATAGTTTATTTGTAAGGGCAGAGTCTCATTGTTCTCAGGAACACTGGGCGATTATTTATCACTACATTCTGAACAATAAAATCAACTAAAGCACAAAGATGTGGTATAGCCTGGACTGGAGATGACGTTTGTATACAGGACAGGAGCTTAATGCACTTCCTTGCTTGAGCTCAGCTGGGAACTGTAGGTCAGCTTGCTTCTCTGCATACTTCTATGAATGACCTAGAATCTTTGCCTTTTGAGATAGGGTTAGGGAGAAACCTGGTACTGGGGAAATTCCTAGGGGTTTGATGAAAGAAGAATCTGGTATGTGCTGATACCGTGCCAGTTTGGTAAAAATGGGATATGGGTTGAAATTCACTGTGTAACCAAAGAGTATATTAAATTTCTCTTCTTGTTTCCACCCCCGCTAGAACTGGGATCACAGTTCTGCACCAACACATCTGGTATATGTGGTCCTAAGTTTGTGCATGCTATGCGGCACAAGCACTCTACCAACTGAAGTACATCCTACGTTTTCTGTTTATAGTCACAGACTATCTCTCATACATAGTATCTGGTTATAGCTCCTGAGATCTCCTGGATAAACAGAGGGTGGGAGGTGGTAGGGGAT